CTCTCTCCCGGCCTTCCTGGACTCAGCCGCTGATCAGTTTCAGCAGCAGCTGACTTGGGGACGCCTGGGTTTCTTAAGTTGAATCTGTATATAAGTCAGAACTAGCATCCAGATTCAGCCACGGTTGAAACTGATCAGTTTCAGCAGCGGCTGACGCCAGTTCCAACTTACATACAGATTCAACTTAAGAACAAACCTACAGTCCCTATCTTGTACGTAACCCGGGGACTGCCTGTATTGTCAATGAAACATGACATTTCTGCCCTCTGGACAGCAGCCAGCATTTGCGTGAAGTTATTTTGTATACCAAGTTCAATGAATATATTTGAAATATCACATGAAAAGCAACCCTGGTTTATTATTATGCAAACTTTCCTGCCACTGGGGCCTATGTCTGGTCACTAGCTGAAGTTCGTTCAATGAAAATCTTGTGGGTATTTCTTCCTTGACCTGCACTGAGGGCCAGCCAAAGTGCGTTCCACCACACGGCGATGAAAAGAAGGATCAAACAGCTCCCAAAGCAAAACCTCTGTTTGACTGGAGCTTTCTATATATAGGGTGGTGCAATAAACACCATTGTGAACTGTGTGCAATCTGCCTGCCTGAGACTAAGGCTGCACACACACAAGCCCCTTTCATGGCTAAAATCAATATGCAAAAGTGAAAGTATATATAATATAAGCAATTAAAAATCCTATCGGCTGCTATCTGACAAATCACTTCAGTTAGCCTGAGAGATGGAAGCTGACCCAAAATAAAAAATCCCTGACAAAGAACTTTAAACAAAAGCAAGAGAGAGATTTCTAAACTTAGCTACAAAATGTGGTGTAAAGGTCAGGTTCACAAGGAGACCATGCCAAATCTCTAATGATGTGACATTTTTATGAGTCTGAAAAATAATATCTTGGCAGAAGGTAACTGGGTAATATGAGAGGGGGGATTTATTTAAATTGGACTGCATATTCTTTCATTTCAAACTTAGTTCTTGATCCTGCCAAACCTCACTGATGAGAAATCCTTGCTCCTGTAAGTAGTGCCATTGTGATCAGTGGATGTACTTAACTAAGTAAAGGCTACTCACACAAATTCAACATTGCATAATGCGCTCCTTAATTTTTAACTTTTATTTTCAAAACCTGGCAATTTGTTCCTGGATTATAGATAAAAGCAACCATCACATTTTAAGGTAAGATCTTACACAGTGTCTCTATCATGCATTAAGAAATGCACAAACAGAACTTCCAAGCTGTATTGCTAACCCTTTTTAAGGATAGGGAATGCAAAAGGCCAACATCTGCATAGTCATCTAGTCTAATCAGATTTGAATGCAGGGCTGAAAAGATGAATGGAGCCAATGCTGCAGCAAGAACCTCTTTACCCTGAAATAATGTACCACTGAATTCTATGAAATGTTTTCCCCCACGCTTAAATGGGAGTAGGCTTGGGGTATTTTTTATGCTGGGTCCTGCCGTGAGGGCAGGGGCCTGTCCTTGATGCTCTCTTGAGGTCCCTTCCAGTTCTAGTGTTCTATGATCTTTAAACATTTATTTTAAAATATTCTCTTTCTCTTGCCACCATTTTGATACCAGTAAATGTTACTTTTCTTCAGATGAAAATGTCTGTACTTGTTTTTTCAAAGGTCCTTCCTCCCGCACCAATTAAACAGGCAAGTGAAGGTCCCAGGTGGTTGGCCATATAATATAGTTCCAACTGTCACGTCCCCATGCAGCTGTGGCTCAGAGAGCACGAAACCTCCCTATTAATTGCTCTAACATTTCAGCACAAGCAGCAGTGTCAGGCCTTTGACTAATGAGTCTAGTGCAGGGTGTCTCAAAGTTCATTGCACCATGACCCCTGCTGACAACAAAAATTATTACACAATTCCAAGAGGGGGAACTGGAACCTGAGCCTGCCTGAGACCCACTGCTCTGGGCGGGGGGAGGAGGAGAAGGGCCAAACCTGAAGCTCAAGGGCTTCAGCCCCAGTGGGGGATGGGTGCGGTGGGGCTTGTAACCTGAGTCCCAGCATGCACAGCTGAAATCCCACAGCTTCGGCCTCAGGTGGTAGGGCCCTAGCAAGTCTAAGCCAGCGGTGGTGACCCCATTAAAATGGAGTTGGGACTCACAGTTTGAGAACTGCTGGTCTAGTAGTTGTGGCTCTGAACAGCGCTTGGAATAAAAAAGCTTTTAAAGGTGGTTGTACCATTACAAGACACTCTCTCAGCTCTTTGGTGGCTACCTGGCCAGCTTCATTGCTGCCCTAACTTGGGAAAAGAAAAGCAAGGTAGCTTCAATAAGGCCTTCCTGCTCCGAGAGGTGGTATTGCTCAGATTGCACTTGCCTTGCCTATTGATACATCTAGGTAAGACTGGAACGGAGAAGAAAAACTGCGAACACAGTAATACTGTAGTAGAAATTAAAGAAATCCAGTTATAAAACTAGAGATAGACCTGAACCAAATTGCTTGAGTCTAAATACCCCTGAGCCCAAATGCTAATCTAAACTCTGAAGTTCAAACATTGTGGAACTGCAATAATTTTCTTTCATTGTCCAAGATCAGACTTAAGACTCCCTGTGCAGTGGCATTAGGCAACTTAGGCTGTGTTAGTATTCTGGGTCTGTCTACACACCCTGTGGAACATAGGTGCTGCCACACCCCCTGGCTTGAAGTGATATCTGTTACATCCAGGGTTTACAGTTTGGTATGATGGCTCTCCACCCCGCTGCTATACAAATTGTTCCTGCACCCTGCAGTGGAAGGAAGTCTACCTCCCACCCCCATGCTTCAGAGCCTAAGCCACAAGTTCAAAGCTCAGGGATATTTTTGGAGCACTAATGTGAGCCCACTAGCTTAAGTTTGTCAAGCCAGGCTGGGAGGCTCACTTCTGTGGGCTGTGTAGAGAGAGAGAGAGACTCACTGTTAGTCAGATACACACAGGGGCAGGGGTGAAAGTAACTTAAATTTCTTACACGTACTCTTGTATCACAACTCCCTCCCCCCCCCGGGGGAGGGACTCAGGGCAGGGGTGTG